GTGAGGGCTGCAGAGGAGAGAGCTGTCATCAGGGATGGCCGAGTGATGAGGAGAAAGAGCCCCTCAGCCAGGTTATGACATTTGGCGGCTCTCTCTGTCCTCATCGCTTCTACCTATTCATAACTGGATGATAGTAAATCTCCAGTTTGTGAATGAATGGGAAGCCTCTGTATTGAGTGCTCTCCATTCATTTTGAACAGAGGCTGCACTCTGTGTCCTCAATTTCTTTTTCTATTTCCAAAGGGAAATGTCGGGAGCCTGTTTAGACCCCTAATATTTCCCAGAAGCCCCCCCAACAGTAAAAAAAAAATGTAAAAAATTATAATAAAAACATCCTGACAGCGGGGTGCATGATGTCACATGATGCCGCACGTGTAGGGCCTCGGGTGACATCACACGCCTGTTGGGGGGGCATAATTTTTTGTTCTTGCTGGGCGCAAAAGGAGCTACCTACGGCTCTGGAGTGGAGAGGAGCAGTTGGGTACATCACCATTCATTAAAAAATGAATCAAATACAAGGTATTCTCTGATTGGACAAGGTGGAGAGGAGGGGCGGATGACATCATGATTCTTTAAAAAAAAAAAATACAAGGCGTTATGTGATTGGATGAGGTGGAGAGAAGAAGTGAATGATGACATGATGCACTGAAAAAAGTACAAGGGGTCCTCTGATTGGACGAGGTGGAGAGGAGGGCCGGATGAACTCATGCTTTATTAAGAATAACTTCAAGGCGTCTTCTGATTGGAGGAGGTGGAGAGGAGGGGCGGAGATCAGGTATAAATACATGGAGCCAAGCTGGGCTAATGAAAGTTTGCAAAAAGTCTTCCACTTTAAGCAGTTAGGTAGACCCTCACACTCTGTAGATCAGCTCCTGTACAATCTTCATATCATCTACCAACACCCATGTAGTGTAATAGCCTATCCAAGCAATCATTTTTATTTCTCCAACCTAAAGGTGGCCATACACTCTACAACCATCGCAAGACTTTAGTCTTGCGATGGTTGTAAAGGGATTAAAAAAACGTACGATCTGCCTATCTTGGACAGGCAGATCGCACTCTCGATCATCGCAAGCCCGCCCCCCTGAGGGGCGGGCTTCCGATGACCGCAATGCTGAACGGGCAGTGTGCGCGTGCGCACACCGGCCCGTTCAGCATTTGTCTTCCGAGCACCGTTCTAACCAGCCGAGAATCGTACGATTCCCGGCTGGTTTTCGAACATGCTGGTTCGACAGAAGACGTGCGACCGTACAGTAGAAACGGTCGCACGTCTCCGTTCACACTGCTCGATTATCGTACGAAAACCCGATCGCATACGATTATCGTACGATAATCGTGCAGTGTATGGGCACCTTAATTCTAAACCAGATTGTAATGTGCGTAACCAGTGTAGGTGGTGCAATCCAGATCTCACCACATATGTTACAATCTGACTGTACCATCCCCTTCTGATCTACCACTTACATAGCACAAGGGTCTGCCTGGCTGGATACAGATTGGTTGGAGAGATTCGGTAGGTGCTCATCTTAAATTTTTTGGGGGTAAATCTACAGTTGATTGTACCGATGTTGTACAGTCAGTTTGTAACATGTATGGTGAGCTTCAGACCAGCGGCTTCATGAATATCATGCCAACTAAATATGGCCGCGTATAAGCTATATTCTCAGTATTGAAGTATAACTAAAGGCAGGTTTTTTTTGGATAGTGGTGAGCTCTATGAGGTGGCTTCCCCTCCCCCATGGGGTATCTGTGTCCCCATTAGGGAGATTCACCTTTTCTAATTGTCCTGATCGCCAATGATGTCATCGGGAATAAAAGTGATGAGAGATCCAGGAACAGAGAGAGGAAATATTCAATTGGGGACACTAGTTCATGTCTAAGAGGGGGTTTCCCTCACATTGAAAAGATATTCTCTAACTTCCTGTTGAGTCCACAGGACAGGAAGTGCAGAGAAATCTCCTGAATGAGGAAGAGATCGCAAAAAAAAGTACTCACGGCAGTTTTACCCTTTTCCCCACTCCATCCTACATGTAAAAACATAATGTTTGGCATTAGATTTACTTTAAAGGAGAACTATGAGGTGAGTGCTTTTCACTCACCTCATAGTTCTAGCCGACCTGTGACAATGAGACTGTCACAGGTCGGCTCAGTAGATCGGGAGGTGAGCGAACACATACCAGCGTTTGCTCACCTCTCGATCCTGTCACGGCTCTCAGCCGTGACAGGGGAGGGGCTGGATTCCCCCCTCCCCGCTCCGATCCGCCATCGCTGATTGGCGGAACGGACGGGGGAGGGGGTGGGTACAGCTGGCTCTGCCTCTAGATAGGCAGACGCTAGTTTGTGTCCTCCCGTTACCCTAAGGAGAACTATGGGGAAAAGTCTTAACCCCATAGTTCTCCTTTAAAGGTCAATCAATATATTTGGTCACATAAAAATCAAACCAAACTGTGCCGAGGACATCACATTAACATCAATTTGAGATCATTCGGAGTTCATTGATATGTGCATGTGACCTGCATTTGACCTGCTTCTGACCTGCACTTGACCATGTTGGTGATGGACGCCAGCAGAGAGAGGACATTCACCCGGCGGGATGAGGTATGCCACCGGGTCCCCTCCTCTCTCCTGCAAGTGTCGGGCTCTCGGTCTATGACTGAGTACCCAACGTTTCAATGGGAGTGACACCAAAATGACTGTCAGTCATTTTGGTGTTATCCCTCTAATGGTGTCACCCGGCTGCGGGCCGCACCACCCTAGTGACACTACTGTTCGGTTGCCATTGAATAGGATGAGAATCTTCATGCTGAGCGTTGTTGCGCTTTGGCAAGGTGTGAATGTGATCTGAAAGGCATTGATTTACAAGGAACTTCCACCTCTTCAACAAAAAAAATGAATGCACACATATTCATAAGAGCAAATATGTGCAGTTATTAGGTTTTTTTGCATTGGAGCCAGCAAAGTATTGCAATTGCCCTCAGTGGATCTGTTGGTTGTGGGTGCACTGCTCTGACTGCAGAGCCTTCCTCCCATCCCTGCAAGTACCTGTCAGGCTGGACGGCTGGGCCGTGAGTGGAACCCCTTGGCAGGGACGAAAGCAAAGTCCGAAATCGAGGTATCAAAGGGCAATCCAAGAGAATAGTCAAGTCCAGGTCGGGGCAGGCAGCGAGGATCACAGGCGAGAGGTCAAGCAAAAAGGTCGGTAGCCGGGAGGTCAGATCAATCTCAAAAAGCAGGTTCACACAGGGGGGCTGGGCGTTCACCATGAGGTAGAATAACTCAGCAATGAGTCAAGGCTCTGACCGGCTTTATATACACAAGGAAACCCAGGCCCACCCCCTGGCTGCCGTGGCAACCAGGAAGCTTCCTCAGTCAGGAGCCAAGAGCAGGGCTGAGCGGCAAACCCAGCGCCAGATGCCCTGCCAGGAGGAGGAGCCTGAGCCCGATGCCTGCGCTGGCGAGGCTGGTGAGGAGCGCCCCCCGGGGTCCCTGACAGTACCTCTGTATGGACAATCAGTAACATGGACAGGAGGAGGTGAGTCAATGGACTACAAGTGCGGTGATATCACTGCACATGTACTGCATTGAGAACTACTGCGGTGGCTGATGGTACTTTTCTCTTTTTCTCTCTTTTTCTCCATTCACAGATCCTGCCCATGATGTG